GAGAGAGAGAGTAATATTGTGTCTGACCTTGAGCTTAGAGTTATCGATCAAAGGGATGTCTTTAGACGACTTAGCGTCAGGATCGAATTCGACAGCAGAGAGAGCAGCAACGACTTCAGCAGCGGTCTGGATACAGCGGAGGAAAGGTGAAACAAAGACACGGTGAATCGGAAAACCATTCTGAGATCGGATTCTCTGACCGGTTCCAAAGGCGCGAACGATACCATCGTGAGCCAACAGCGGATCCCACGGTCTCTCAGTGGTTGAAACCCAAAGTGGGTCGAAATCGTCCATTCGATCGCCGTGGCGCATCACAATGACATTTTGGTGACCTTCTATGTTTGATTTAGCATACTCCATTTCTCTTTCTTTGTGTGCCTTCTTGCCAGTAGAGATGGCAAGTCTATATATAGAGATTCTTGAAAGTTCAATTTGTAACGGAGTATTTGTTTTTTTCAAAGAAATTGTTATTCGAGATGGGAAATTACGAGGAACACAAGAAAGTTATTTAACATTCATGACTCATTGAAATTACTAGGAAGTTTACATTCATATAAAATCCAACATGAGTAGAAACCACTAAGCAATTCTCTTCTTCTTGGGTCAACCAATATATCTCTCTTTTACATGAGTACAAAAAATATTATGGCGGATTTCGGAATGTCGTGATTTGGAGAATCTTTCTACAATGCCTATCTCAAGATTCAACCACATACACACTCTTCCTTTAATCTCAGTTAAATATCAGTTTGATGGTTTCTTTCTTTCTTTGTTTTATATTTTACACAGTTGTTGTTTCGTTTCTTGAACTTGCTCAAGGTAATGCCAAAACAACCGGAATTTGAGAAAGAGGAAGGATATGTATTCACTTACTAATAATAACACAATACCAATAACGTACCAAACTACTTGCGACTAGTGACAATGTACTAGAACTAGATTGTTAAATCAATACTACAAGCCTATTAGGTTTCCAACTTAAGGTAATGACATGAATTGGCTAGTCTTCTTGAGTAACCTTCGGTTTTTTGCATTTGGTTATGGTGGTGATAGGATCTCCTCCATTTGCTAGGCTTGTCCAAAACCATTCTTCATTACCGAAAACCGGCTTTTTGGTGAAAGGAGGCTTGTCCAACGCAACTCCGCACTTGCTACATTTCTCCGGCGGGTCTTCAGACTCTGCTACGAGAACATTGTAATTTTCCCCAACAGAATCTTGGAGAAAAGTGACGAACTCCGTCTTGTCTCTCGAGATTATCAACAGATTTGTAGTATCACGATTCTGAAGTACCCAGCTAAAAAATGCGTGATACATACTAGTAAATCTCCCATGTTTATCTCCTGAAAAAAAAATACAAAACCCAACAGAGAGATCTCTAAAGATACCTACGGAGACAACAACACTAAAAAAAAAGAGTCTTGCTTTTTAAGCAACACTACTTACCTGCAATTTCCAAGTTGATTCCTGCGAGTTCAAAGTCATTTCGAATCGTCTTCTTCTCTTTGAAAGCCTTGATTGTAACCTCACCACGATAACCTTGATTCGCGAGAGCTGTTTTGATATTCCGATAAACCGAAACAGGATCGAGACCATTAGGGATTGGACAATCCTCAATGTCCCAGAAGACGCCTGTCTTAGCGCCTGGTGAGGGTTTTGTAGTTAATACATAAAAGAATCAGATAGTGAATACAATCTATGAAAAATCGATTCAGATGAAATCAAATCCAGAGATAGATAGATTACACCATTTCGTGCT